TTTTTTTCAATATAATTTTTATAGTTGAAATTAAACCGTACTTGATTTTTATGTACTTTTTTATTTGCCGTTAAATTTTATTTAACAAATTATTTGTAAATACTATTAAATTTGTTATTAGTTCTTTCTACTTATATTAACTGTTTTTTTTTTACAAGCTCATTGTTTTATTTCTCTTCGCTCCTTTGCAGGACAAAAAATACGACGTTGGCGGTGGGGAACCCTTCGACACATTGTCCGAACTCATTGAACACTACAAACGCAATCCGATGGTGGAGACATACGGCACAGTGGTGCATTTGCGTCAGCCATTTAATGCGACGCGCATCACAGCCGGCGGCATCAATGAACGAGTTAATCAATTGGCGAAGGTAAGTTAACTTACAGTTCGAAAAACAACATGGCGTATGAGTAACCTTTTCTATTTACTAATAATACGGTTACACTTTTAAGGGCGGCTTCTGGGAGGAATTCGAATCGCTGCAGCAAGACAATCGCAATATGTTTTGTCGCATTGAAGGCTACAAGCCGGAGAATCGCAGCAAAAATCGCTATCGCAATATACTGCCCTGTAAGTCACAAATAGACACCAGCATACTGACTTACATACACTCGTCTGCAGTGTGTGGGGTTCGCACGTGTGAAAATGCTTATTTTTTTTTCCACTCGCCCCCACTTTGCATGTCGATTTCTGTGTTTTTTTTTTGTAGTTAATAGATTTTCATATTTTTTCCGTTTTTGCTCGCACACCCGCTGTCGCCGACTGTAGATGATCATACCCGCGTTAAACTATTGGATGTGGACAAGAGTGTGCCCGGCGCTGAATATATAAATGCAAATTATATTCGCCTACCCACCGATGGCGATTTGAATAGCATGAGCTCATCGTCGGAGAGTTTGAATGCCACTGGCATGGTGGCCTCTTGTCCCGCCTGCAGCGCCGCTCAAATACAGAAGAACTGTACCAACTGTCAGAAGATGAACAAGACATGTGTGCAGTGTGCTGTCAAAACATCTGTGCTGCCATTGAGCAATTGTATAACGTGTAATAAAAAATCGGATACGATTAATAAGCATAAGCGCAGCGATTCATCGGCCTCAACGGCGACCGCTTACAGCACTGCTAGTTGCAGTTCACGTGCGGCTTCCAGTGCGGGTGGTTTGTTGAAGAAGTGCAACAATGAGTTGGCAGAGCGCGATATGTTCAAAGTGTACATTGCGACGCAGGGTTGTTTGCAGACAACGATTGTCGATTTCTGGAACATGATCTGGCAAGAGAATACGCGAGTGATTGTGATGACAACCAAAGAGATTGAGAGAAGTAAGTGTGTTAATGAAATTTTATTACTAATCATTATGGTGATATTTAATTCAGCGCTTTTAGATTGAAAATAAGTGTATTCAGCTCAATATTTTGTAATGAAAATTTCTAAATTTCTAAATATTAATTTGATTGAGAAACACAGTTAAATTCGCCGGCTTTTAATTATATTCAGCGCTATTAGATTGAGAATAGATGTATTCAGCGCAGCCAATAAAAAGAGGGCAGTGTATATTTTTTATAGTAATAAAGTTGTGACTTGATTCAGCTGATCTTTACATGAGCTCATACTTTTTTTGACATTCAGCTATGGTATTTATTGGTTCTTTTAAAGCGTTGAAGCTATTTTTGTTGTCAAGAAAGTGGTTAACTTCAATTCAGCGCGCTTTAATTAACTAATTGCATGTGAGCACATCTATTTTTGGTACTGTATTAAAAGATATCACTATAATTCAGCAGATTTTTAGTTGAACTAGCTTTATATACATTCATTCAGCGCGCTTTAATTTACAAATTCCACATGATTTCCAAATATGTTCCATTGTATTTTGCAGACCGCAGTAAATGTGCCAAATACTGGCCGGATGAGGGCCAATGCCGACAATTTGGACCAGCGAAAATACAATGTCTCACAGAAAGCAAAACTAATGATTATACGCTGCGTGAATTTCTATTCTCTTGGCGTGATAAGCCTGATCGCCGTATCTATCACTATCACTTTCAAGTGTGGCCCGATCATGGTGTGCCCACGGATCCGGGCTGTGTGCTGAATTTCCTGCAAGACGTGAACTCTAGGCAAAGTCAGATAACGATGACGGGCGAGAATCCGGTAAGTGAAAAAAGTTTCTTTATAACACATTTTCAATTTTCATTGAATTATTTGCAATATTTTTAGGGTCCAATTTGTGTGCATTGTTCAGCGGGTATTGGTCGCACGGGCACTTTCATTGTGATTGATATGATTCTCGATCAAATCGATAGATACGGTAAGTACTACGAAGCAGCTGCTGTATATGTCGAGTACGAGTATTTTAATTGTTTCATTCCGTTACCTACAGGTCTGGGCACCGAAATCGATATACAGCGCACAATACAAATGTTACGCTCCCAACGTTCTGGTTTAGTACAAACTGAAGCACAATATAAATTTGTTTATTATGCTGTGCAGCACTACATACAAACGCTAATACAGCGCAAACGTGCCGAAGAGCAAAGCTTACAAGTCGGACGTGAATATACAAATATAAAGTGAGTACCAACGTTCAGTCAACCAAAAGCAAATCGTGATGAAACACTAATTTGGAAATTGACTATCAAAATACCTAAAGTTATTAGTAGTTTGTGATTAGGGGTTTTTTGAACAGTGCTGAATGGCGTTTGCTGTTATCGCATGTTATTATTTTGATAATAATGTTATGTATTACGCTAAACGACTTTGTTTTGGCATTCAGCTATGTTATGTATTATACAGCTATGCTGAATTTAAATTGATAGCAGTATTATATGCTACACAAATTTATATAAGTATGAAAAAGTTGTAAAAATATTTAACTGCAAAAATGCATTGTGAATTGGCCTAACCAAGCGCTGCATGCGCTGAATTTATTTTTATATATTTTTTCTTAATTTGATTAGTTGTTTTAAGCTCCAAAGCTTGCTATGCAAAATTAGTATACAAAATAGCATTGCTTCAACAAAGCTGAATACCATATTATATCGCTGAATTAATATTTTTATAGGCCCAACCAAGCGTTGCATGCGCTGAATGTATTTGTATATATTTTTTTCTTAATTTGATTAGTTGTTTTAATCGCCAAAGCTTACTATGTAAAGTTATTATACAAAACAGCATTGTTTCAAAAAAGCTGAATAACATATTAGAGCGCTGAATTAATATTTTTATTTAGATTTTTAATTTAAAGAAGTATATGAAATGACTTAAGCAAATAAGTTTAAGTCATATAATGCCAAAATAAATAATTAATTCCGCAGGATACATACATTGAAATTATTTTTGATATTCGTTGTTTAATAATTTAAAATATAGTTTTATACAAAGATACGGTAGAGTTTTCGTAGAAAATACCAAATTCAGCAACATTTAAACGCGCTGAATTGCAATTTTAACACATTATGTTGACAAAATACTCTTATTCATGTAAATTAACACACGCTTCTACCAAACTGCAGGTACACAGGCGAAAGCAGCAGTGACACACAAAGATCTCCGCTCCCATCAGCAATTTCTAGCGTAAGTTTAGCAAGTAAAAACCAATCAGTGGCCAGCAGCAGCATCAACATTAACAGCAATGCGACCGGCAATGCTGCAGAGAGTATAAATCACTATGCCAGCATTGGCTCTACAAACGCCAACAAATCGACGCAGCTGTATGGCACAGTGACAGCAGCCCCACCACCGTTAGCTACGAAAAGCAAACAAGCGCCGCTGCCACCAATGCCGGCCAGTGCGCTCGGAGCCATGGCATTAGCATCGAAAGCGGGTGATAACAGTATGCAGCAGCAGCAACAACAACAAAGCGCTATGCAACCGCAGCAGCAGTCATCAGCCGCTATGCCAAGCACGACAAATGCGAGCGGCGGCGGTAGTGCTGCTGCGGCAGGTAAGCAGGTATTCACACGGCTTAGTATTTTCAAATCGTTGACTCCCATCGCTTTACAGCCAACGAAAACATTCCCAAAGACATGAGCATGCGCTCAGGCAGCGCTCAGCAGCAGCAACAACAACAGCATCGGCAACAGGCAGCGCCGCCGACACCGCCGCGCTCTAGCTATACATGACAGTTACGGTTTTAAAAACAGCGAAGCGACACAAAACCTAATGTCTTTGTTAGAAATTCTTCTGCTTCTACCCCTCCTTCTCTTACTATGCCAAAACGGGCACTATGAACGTGACTTCAAATGCTGCCGTTCGCTTAAATGTACGCGTCGCGCTTTAGGAAGAACAACGAACTCTTATAAAGTATAAAAAAAGATGTGTTGCATACCACGGGCTGTTGTAGCACCTCCACACAAAAAAAAATCCCACACCTTTGCCGATTTTCACTCGGAATTATTTTTTATACTTCAGATATGCGCCGAAAATCGCTGAAAACTGTTTTTTATATAAACTGTTATTCGTAGCTTTTTTTAATTGTTCTCTTCACCCTTTAAGGATTTTGTAACATTACTACTTCGGCATACATTTTATTTTATTTCAGTTTACATTGTTTTATTAATTTTTGAAAAACATTTCCCACTACCACCACGCCCACATTATGCCTACTTCTTTGCTCGTTTCTGTTTTTTAAGCGAAAAAACCGTAATAGTAATTGTTATTGTTGTTATTGTACTAGCGTAGTTTGTTGCTGCTGTGGCTGTTGCTGTTTTTTTTATATTTTTGTTGTAGTTGTAGTTGTGTAGAAGTATCGCTGCTTAGTAGCGTAGCGTTAAAGCAAACGGAAAATTAAAAAAAAATAAAAATTTAATAATAATTTATATAAATATGATAAAGCGTTGATTGTGATCTGTATTGATGCATTAAAAAAAAGGTAAAAATGTAAGGCCATTTAATCGTTATACTTAGCAAGAAATGCGTCTCCAAAAATCGAAAAATCAAAAATAGAAATATTAAATTGAAAAAAAAAAAAATAAATAAATTGCCAACATTAAGCAAAAAAAATGTTTTAAATATTGCTAGAGTGCATAAAAAAAATTGAAGAAATTAGCGTTGAGTTCAAAAGGCTTTGTAGAAAAAACAAAATAATTTGCAAAGCAAAATAAGTGTTAAACCAATATTTAAAAAAATTATTTAAAAAAACAGCTAAAATATGCGTTAACGGAAATCGTGAATATTATTTTTTTTTGTAAAAGTTGAAAATTTGTTTGTGAAAAGTTTAGTTTTTCGAAAAAAATTGGTTGTTTGAAATGCTTTCAACTTTTTTTAATTATTATTCTTTGTACTTTTTCTTATTCTTTATAAAAATTTCTAGCGTTTTTTTTTTTAATTATTTCTATATTACCAAATAAAAGGTTCCTTAGACTATTTTTAAATAATTTAAATAAAGTTT